TGCTGGCATATACCTATAATCCCAGATAACTTAATAAGGCAAAGACAGAGGATGACAAGTTCAAAGCCTGTCTCAGCAACTTAATGAGACCCTCAGCAAATTAACAATACCCTACCTTAAAATTAAAAATAAAAAGATTGGAATGTAGCTCAGTATTAAATTGCCCCTATGTTCAATCCCCATTACAAAACCAAAAACAAAAAACCTGATCAAAATTCCAATGACATTCTTCATAGAAAAAAAAGTCCTAAAATACATAATGAACACAATTCAACCCCCCAACAAAACCAAAAAGCAAATAACCCAATAATTCAATCAATAAATGGGCAATGAACTAGACATTTCTTAAAAGAAGAAATAAAAATAGCCAACATATACATTAAAAAAGTTTGATGTCATTAGCAATAAAGAAAATGGAAGTCAAAACTACACAGATTTCATCTCAGCCCAGTTAGAATGGCAACCATCAAGAAGATAAAAAAAAATAATAATAAGTGCTGGCAAGGATATTGGGGAAATGAATTTTTACTTATACATCGTTGGTGGAACTACAAATTAGTACAAACACTGTGGAAATAAGTATGGAGATTCTTCAGGGCACTAGGAATGTATCCAACATACGATCCAGCTGTTGTACTCCCTAGTGTTTATCCAAAAAAACTGAAATCACCATATTATAGCAATACAACATCCCAATGTTTATAGTAGTGCAATTCACAAAATTCAAATTATGGAAACAGGCTATTTGTCTGTCAACAAATCAATGAATAAAGAAAACAAGGTATATATACAAAATGGAGGGCTACATAGCTATAAAAAAAGAATGATATTATGTCATTTGCAGCAAAGTGGATGGACCTGGAGAATATCATACTAAGTGAAATAAGCCAAACTCAAAATCCAAAGTCAACTGTCATCCCTCATATGCAGGAGATAGAGAGAAAAGAAGGAGAATCTCTCAAAAATATAAGGGAGACCAATAGAGAAGAGGAAGGAGATCTGTGGGGAGGAAAGAAAGGATAGAAAGGGAAAGAATTGGGGAATAAAACTGACAAAATTATCTTAAATACATGTACAAATATACCATAATGAATCCCATCTATATAATTATAATGCACAAATGAAAAAATATATATACATATAAGTAATCAGAAAGAATATTGGAGGAGATGAGGAAGGAGAAGAGGTAGAAGAAGGATGTGAGTAGTGGGAAATGAACTGTAACGTTATTTTATATGCATATATGAATATGTCACAGAAAACTCCAATATTATATATAATTCACTGACATTAAAAATAAAAGGATGAAATAAAAATGAAAAGACTATAGAAGATCTGAACAACTGTATGAAACAATTTAAACCGATTAACATTTAAAGAATAGTATACCCAAACTTCAGAATATATATTTTCAAAAAACACACAAGGAACATTCATCACATTTGAATTTCTGCTGGGTAATTAAACAAGGTTCAAAAGTTTCAGTGATTTTAAAGGACTGTAATAATATAGTATATTATCTACGATGACAACAAAATTAAGTTAGAAACATAACAAAAAGATACCCAGAAAATCTCCAAAATATTTAGAAATTAACAAACCTCTAAAAAATCCATGTTTCAAAATTTAAGTCAAGTGCAATTAGAAAATATATTCAACCAAACAATAATGAAAACACGATATTTGAAAACCTGTAAAATACAGCTAACAACAAGGCATTGGCACCAAAACAGGCACATAGAGCAATGGTACAAAATAGAAGACACAGAGACAAACCCACTTAAATACAGTCATCTCATACTAGAAAAAGGTGCCAAAAACATACAGAGGAGAGAAGAGAGCCTATTCAACAAATGGCACCTGGAAAACTGAAAATCCATAGGTAACAAAATGAAATCAGACTCTTATCTTTCATCCTGAACAAAACTTAACTCAAAGTGGATCAAGGACGTAGGCATTAGACCAGAGACCATGCACATACTAGAAGAAAAAGCAGGCCCAAATCTCCATCATGTTGGCTTATGAACCAAATTCCTCAATAAGACTTTTAAAGCACAAGAAGTAAAATCAAGAATCAATAAATGGGATGGTATCAAACTAAAAAGCTTCTCAGTAAAGGAAACAAGAACAAGAATAGAGAGCCTACAGTGCCATCTGCACTTCAGATAGAGCCTTAACCTCCAGGATAGATGAAGAACTCAAAAAACTTAACACCATAAGCAAACAAATAACCAATCAATAAATGGGCAAAGGAACTAAACAGATACTTCACAGAAGAAATATGATTAATGAACAAATGTTCAAAATAACTAACAATTAGAGCAATGCAAATCAAAACTAAGATTGCACCTCACTCCAGTCAAAATGGCAATTATCAAGAATACAAGTAACCATAAATGTCGGTGAGGATGTAGATAAAAGGTACACTCTCACATTGCCCTTGGGATTGCAAATTCATGCAAACACTCTGGAAAGCAATATGGAGATTCCTTAGAAAACTTGGAACAGAATCACCATATTACCAAGTTATCCCACTCATTTGCATATACCCAAAGCACTTAAAATCTGCCTATTAAAGCAGCCACATCAATGTTTACAGCAGCTCAATTCACAATAGCTCAGCTATGGAACCAAGCTTGGTGCCCTTCGACAGATAAATAAAGAAAATATGGTACATATACACAATGGAATATTACTCAGCAATAAAGAAGAATGAAATTATGGAATTTGCTGGGAAGTGGATTGAACTGGAAACTATCATGCTAAGTGAAATAAAGCAATCCCCAAAAAATCAAAGGCCAAAAATTTTCTCTAATATGTGGATGCTGACTCACAATAGGCAGGGTGTGGGGGGTCCAGGTGGAGTTTACTGGATTGGATGGGGTGTGGGGATAAGTGAGGGAAGATTGGAATGGAAAAGAAGAGTAAAACAAATCAAATATAACTTTCCTATGTTAATATCTAAATACATGACAGTGTAATCCCACTTTATGTACAACCACAGAAATGGTACTTATACATGTATGTATATGTCAAAATACATTCTATTGCCATGTGTTAACTAAAAAATGCAGCAAAAAAAATTGTGACACTTGAGGTAAACCACAGTTTCTTAGGTTTTTTCTTTTAAAGAAAAATACACTATTAAAAATTTCATAAACTAAACTTTTGAATAAACACATAAAAGGTTCTACTTGATGAATATAGTATTAAAAATAAAGCACACAACTTAAAAGAAGATCTCAAGTATGTGTGTGTGTTGTGTGTGTATTTAATGAGGATCCTGTATATTGAATACACAAAGGACTTTTAAAGCTTTATAATTAAAAGACAAACATCCAACTAAAAATAAGTGAAAACACTTGGAAAGACATTTCTCCAAAGTAGGTAAGAAATGGCCACAGGGGAAAAAACTGTTCAAAATTATTAGTCATCAGATAAATGACAATTGTAATCACAATGTACTAATATATACATTGGAGTGGCTAAAATCTAAGGCTAGATTGACAACACCAAATGTTTGGGAGGGAGTGGAATGACAACTATATCATCATGGTGGCCAAAATCAGGAGTAGCCCAAGTGTCCATTAATAGGAAAATGGACATGTAAAATGATGATTCAATGGAGGACTACTTAGCAATGAAAAAGTACAATTTATAGAGCCATGCATGAATTCAGGCAAATCTCAAACACATGCTGAAAGATGATGAGCACAAAACACTGCTCACTGTAGTAACGCATGCATATGAAGTCCCAGAGAGGCAAAACTGATCTAGATATGAGAAACAGAATGTCAGAACCGGGCTTGCTTCTGAGGGATGGAACTGACAAGGAAAAGGAGCAAAGGACTTTCTTGAGTCATAAAATCTACACTAAAAATCTCAAAATCTCACTGCCAGTTTAGCCAAAATGAATCCGTTTCTCTGCTTGAATCCAGGTATCAATATTATAGCTCCTCCCTGCCCAGATACCAAGTGACACTGGTGAACTGGAAGATTTGAGAAATATTCTCACTGAAGAGTTAGCATTTCTCAATTTTGTCACCAAGCAGTAATTAATTTTATAAATTGGAACTATAAAATACTTATTTGAAGTCGATTCCGTTTACAAAACAACAAACAATGTTACTATTTATATGAGAATAAGGTTAAAGATTCCTCCCAGCACTAAAAGAAGTGCTTCTCTCTGAATATACTTTGCTGGCTGAGGAATATGTAACTATTAGGCTTCTAATTTTTGTCTTAGCTGCCAGGAAGTTCAGAGCCAAGTTCAGTGCTCAGTTTAGTGATTAGCACCTTAGCCCCCTGATATACTAATTTTTTTCTGGGACAGAGGGTGTAAAAGGTGGTATTATAGTATCCTGTTCATATTGTGAACCACTTTAAATCATCTGGGGAAAATAGTCACATATAAAACACATAAAATGCTGGCCAGTTTGACAAAATCAAATATTTTTTCAGTCTAGATATAAACATATCATATGCTTCTTTTATCAAAAATAGTTGGATTAGGAAGGATTTTTACTGTTGCTTAAATGAGCCTTCTGCAAAAGGTATGTCACTATCCAGCCAAATAAATGATCGAATCATGTAAAAAATCATCACTTTAAAATACAACTTACTGATAGGGAAACACTTCACTTATATCTAATTGTAAGGGTTAGACTTGAAGAACCAATGTAAAAGTATGGAATATGCATGTTAAGAGTCCCTCATGCATCATAGATGGCATGAGAAACTTAAGTGCACTTCATTACATTCTTAGGATAAAGGAAGAAACCAGATCAGTACACAAATGTGCTCACTGTTACTTTTCTGCAATAACTAGTGTCGGCTGCCTTTATTTTTTATCAGCGGGATAGGATATCTTCTGCCCCTTCTCATTTAACAAAGCCATACAACCTTGGACCTAAGGAAAAAATAAATTGTCTTTATTCCCAGAGGGAATATTCTAATGTAGCATTAATCAAAACAAAATGAAACCCAACCAACCCCCTCACCTGAGCTGCTTCACTGTTCATGGATCCCATCAGCTTGTCCTCCTTTGGCACTCTTCTCCATGTGGCCAAGGACTCAGCACTTCTCTCACTGTGAACTCTTTCTGCTGACTTTTCTTGCATCTGACTAACTTGCTTTGTCGCAGCCTTTTGTGAATCAACCTGTTGGTGGGAAGTAATGATTTATTATGAATTTTTTTGACATTTCAAATTCTTTAAAAAAATCCTAAACTTGCCACACTGTAACAAAGACAGAAAGAGGGAAGCAACAATGAACATCGCTGGAAAAATGTGTAGTAGCAAGATCCAGACCCTTTCTCATCAATGGGACAAGAACAATTAAAATTAATGTCACTGTTAGGCATTCTTTAGAAATAATCTCTACAGATAACTTGCTTACTGAAAACCAGCATTTTTTTTTTTCTGGAAAATTGTCACATTTTTCACTGCATGTGAATTCATTATTAACCTTTGCTGGGGTGGATCCAGTATATCTTTGTAGTTTAATTTCTTATTAATTAAAATCTTAAGTTTTCTCTCGTTGAAGTGAGTCTAATTAATGTGAGAGTAGAGAAGGAGATGCTGCTGCTCCTTGCTTTTTGCAGGTAGTTTAACCTGTGAGCAAGATGAGTAACGGTTCATGTCATCTAGTGCAGTGTGCCAGTACCAGAGGTTAACTTCTGCAACAAGCTTGCTGTCTCTAAGGTTTGTCTTTCACACCATGGTGCTATCTGGGGGATGGCTGATTCTCAATAACCTTGAAGAGACACAGAAATAGAAGGGCAGATCCTACAATACAGCTGGAAGATTGAAAGCTACGTGAAGGTCCTTATGTGAAGTATTTGTACAGCAGTTTCATGTTTACAGCAGCTGAAAGTGCCATCACCTTTTTTCATGGGTTAAATAGGGAGCAGAAGACAGGAACAGCACAAAGGGAAATAATGGAGTAGCCAGTGCCAAGACAGAGAATAAATTACATTGGCTGGGCAAACAGAGCCTTAATTTGTAGTCTCTCGATTTTTAGCTTCTATTGCCAAGTGTGTTCATTTCATCCCTTTAAAATATGCTGGTGTTTTGTGGCTAGCTCTAAGTTGTCACAACACCATTCTTTATTTCCACCTCCTCCCGGATCTCAGCTTATCAAAGAATGGCAAAACTACTGCCTTTTAGTAACCTGCAAATTGGAAATGTTTCCTAATCACTCAGGGATTCTTTATTTCACCACTCAACCATCTCAAACTACTGGGAAAATTGATGGGTAACCATCTTCTGAGCCACTCTTCCAATGACGTCATCTTGGTAATAAATGTACTATCATACCTCTAGTGAGAGACAAAGGGTCTCCTGAGGTGTGTGCACACTGATCCTCTGAAAAGACTGGCTTAGTAAGCATTGTGAAAATGTGTTCTGTATTATAAAGAATTGAGATATTTCCCATCCATCTTTACTGAAATATAATTGACAAATAAAAGCTATATATTTAAGGCATATGCTATGTTTTGATATACATATACTTTGTGAAATTGGCACAGTTAAGATCATCAACTTGTGATAACACATGGTATTTATCTTTCCCCCTCTGGTTGATTTCACATAGCACAATGTCCTCTTCCACATTGTTGCAAATGGCAGGATTTCTTTCTTTATGGATGGATAATATTCCACGCACACCATTTTTCTGGGGGGAGAGGGGTACTGGGGGTTGAACTCAAGGGCACTCAACCACTGAGCCACATCCCTGCTCCTATTTTGTAGGTTTATTTTTATTTTTTTTTAGAGACAGGGTCTCACAGAGTTACTTAGCACCTTGTCGTTGCTGAGGCTGGCTGTGAACTCCTGATCCTCCTGCCTCAGCTTCCTGAACCACTGGGATTATAGGTGTGCACCACTTGCCAGGTTACCACATTTTATCTATAGATTTATTAGTAAAACCATGTTCTTTCTATACCTTAGTTATGTAAATAATACTATAAGAAACAATAAACAAAATGTACTTAGTGAAGCAAGTGCTGTAATAAATTAAAAATAGGTACTGCAGAGACCTCTAAGACATCATTATTTCACTTCCTTTGGAAATGTACCCAGAACTGAGATTAGTTGAGATATCATTGAGGATTTTAGTACCGCCTGTATGCTAAGCATTTTAGGTACCAGTTTTCTCACCGGGAGCCTCTGACATAAAAGTAAAATATGTTCAGTTCTATGTGATGGTTCCTGGTGCACATACTGTCATTGGTTGGATGGTTAGGCTTCATTGCTATGAACTCTTCTAGATGATAAACAAACTATATCCAGTGTATGGGATATTTCTAATTCTGGGGAAACTTAAAATGATGAGAGAAAAGTGGGATGATTATGTTTAATTCCTAATTGTGAACAGAGTATAACTTTCTGTTTCTCAAGGATATGAAAATATAGAAAACAGCTCAGGCACCCCACATAATCAAACCAAAGAACACTATCCAAATACGTGCCATTTTCAAAAAAGTTGCTATTCAAAATAAAGTAGTTTTTATTTAATTTTCCATTGAAAATTCGTACTGTGTTCTACAATCAAGCATACTTCTAGACTCCTAAAAAATCAATAAAAATGTGCTTCTGATTAAGAATTTGTATTGCCACTTTTCTCATATACATAAACTAAATGGGAAAACAAATTAATAGAATTATTTTGAGAATTAAAGCTCAGGAAAGAATTTTGCAAATTACTATTACTAATACACCTTGGATTTGCTGTGGAAAACTCAGATTTAGGGTAAATGAAGGAACAAACTTACTGCCTGAAATGCAGGAGAGCTTGAACATTTTTACTTTTCTACCTTACTAAAGATTTTAGGAAGAATGGGTGGCTTATTATGCCCAAGTGTCTACACCATTACAGTATGGATTCAGGCACCTCAATAAGGAGAGCCATATTGATAAAACTAATAAAAGGATCTACCAGTTCTTGAAGTAGATTATCCAAGGGTTGAATTTGGACCTTCAATAATACTATTTTCCAATTTGCTTTGACATTCTCATCTGGGAATTCTAGAGTTTTAGTTCACCTCAATAAGTGTTCATACTAAAATATGGTTTTCTTCATTGAATTTTGAACATTATATTCCGGTGGGGAATTGGGGTACATTAGCTCATTGTGGAGACCATACTTTCCAGGGACATGGCTCTGAGTTCCGTCTATTGGATGTGTATACAAGTGCATACACACACATACACACACACACACACACATCTCTGTGAGTAGCATAAATAGACTCCAGCAGCCCTGATGATAGAATCTTCTAATTTGATTGACAGTGTGACCACAGGAGCTGCCAGAATTACTAGCAAGTGACACCAGCTATACATACCATGATTTTGATTGAGGCAAATACCCCAAAAGATTTGCTTTTCAAGAAAAAAAAAAAAAAAACTATCAATTTCTTTACTATCTTGACAAAACTTCATTTCCAACTGAACTATAGTAACAGTATTTGAGGACTTCAAAAGGAAGCCTTGAATTACTGGAACAGTTTATGATACCTAGGAAAATCTATTAGAAAAATATCTCATTTTGCTTTGCAAAAAGATGTTATAAGTGTGCTGCAATTCTTATTAGACTCTAACCCAAACATGTTTTTTTATTAAAAAGGCTAAATTTCCCTTAGTGTAAGTTTAAAATTTTTTGAATGAAAGAACATTCATAACTTCTTCCCTTTGAATAATGAATCATAGAAACATTTTATTTATATCTGTATTCCTCTTTGGGTCCAATGATTTCTTTTTAAGTATCTTTGTAAAAAAAAAAAATACAAGTCCAGAGTTTATTCACTAGTCTGTTAACTAATTACAACAATCCACATACAGAGTAACAAGAAATATTTTATAATAATAAGAGGATTTATGACAAAAGAAAAACTTGGGGCCATGTGGTTGATTTCATTCTGGCTCTAAATCATTTTTGTTATAGAAACAATCAACTGTGGAAATCATACTACACTTGTATCATTTGCAGGAATTAAGCACAGGATAGTTGATATTGTTATGCTTTGCATTTGGAAATTTCCAGGAAACTGTATTTTATACTATCATTAAATAAATTTGTGCACAATATAAAGTCATTAATAATTAAATACTGATCTGCTGTGAAATATATCTTAACATCTATACGTTGGTCTGATCACACTGTTAACCAAAACTAAGGTCTTAAGAATGCATGTTATTCTTAGGTTATTAAAGTGTTTTCTTTTTTACTCATAACCAAAGTGTTCTAATCAAAAGAAATAAAGTATTTTTGATGGAGCTCACTGGCAAAAATGTTTTATATTCTATTCTCTGCATATAAAAATGGTTTCATAACAAACACCCTTTGAATCTGATGAAACTGAAAATTCTGGTGGATAATAATCAGAGTTTTATATCAGAGGATATAGTTATTGGTTTTTAAAATGGCTTTTTTATATTTCAATTAAGTTTATGAAACTGAAAAACTACAAAAAAGGAAAAAACTCTACTTAAATTAGTGTAGATTAAGTGGTGACCATTACTGCAAGGGAAATACTATGTCTAGGAAATGGCTCTTTGTTTTGTTGGAAAAGTGATAAAAATACAAAAGTCAATAAAACTGTTAAAATAAGTCTCAGTAATTACCAAGATCAAAATCCAGTGGCTTTTTATTAAACATGAACTTTTGTTCTGCCTTCTGCAATACGTAAATAGTGCTGACAATTGGTTTGTGAGGCACTTGCTACAATAAAATGTAATTGTATCATGAGAGAAAGGTGACAATCAGGAGATCATGAAAAAATTACATATTCTCACTGGTAGTTAATTAGCCATGCAAAACCTCCTCAAACAGATATTCTCTTCTATTAGGAATGATTACTATGCAGGCCTACAGATGTCAATACCACAGTCATTCAAATACTTCTTTTCCTACTAATTGAAGGTTGTAAAGCTCTGGTGCCAAGGTTTTGCTTCCAAAGAGCTAATTTATGACTAGAAGGATATTTTATGTCTTCAGTTGCAGCAGCTACAAAATTCAGCAAATCAGAACCATCTGTGCACTGATACTTGACTCACCATTCATCTCGCAGCCTATCAGTCACATTAGTTTGCATCCTGCATTCTTGGCTCATGAACACTTGTGATGATCCAAAGTTCATAAGAAATATTAAAAATGAATGGCATCCTGACCTTACCTTATTGTACATGCATCAGGAAAAAAAAAATGCCCTCCACATTTTTTTTTTTTTTTTGCATGTGGACAGTGTCAAGAAAGAAATGGATATTTAATTACCTGTCCAATAATATTGCTTATAGTAGTCTCAGGCCTATGCCGAGTGTAAAGATTGAACATTTTTAAAAATTTTAAATCCTAATTCTTTGTATCAAGTTCTAATCCTTTTTTCTTTTTTAAAGAATGAAGCAAAGGAAGATGGCTGAATAAAGGAGGAGCCTTGATAGCTCTTTGTAAAAAAGAATCATTTGAAAGGATTGAAATATCAACCAATACAGATAACATCTAAGAATATTATCCAACACTAAATTATGGCCAAACTGGTAGGCAAAAATAAAGGGCAAAAACTGAAGAAAACCCAAAGAAAAGGAGCAAATAAAGGCTCTCATGAATCAAGTCTGATCAGACATCAGGATGGCTTCATTTCCTTCACAGGACACAGCAGGCTACAGATCCTACACTAAGGTCAACCACCTCCTTGGTGCTGAGTTAGGGGGAACAGGAATTAAATATAATGAGCAAGGAACTGAGTTGTAAACAACTTCATTTGACAGAAAAGTTTCACAGAGACAATCCCAAGATTGTTACTTACTTTTTTATTGGGAGGAGAATATACACATGTCCTCTGGCCTTCAGTGGAAAACTCCAGTGGTCCTAAGGGTATTCCACCAGGATTCAGAATTTTCTTGAGCGTTTGATAGTCTGGCTTTTCATTGTAAGCTAAACTATAAACACATGCTAAAAATTCAGCTATTTCACCTGTGAAGTATTAAATTGTTTACATGTAATTCATATTGGCAAGATTAGCAAAACCTCAATAACCTTAAAATCTTTCTATTAAGTTTTCTCTCTTGTACATATACCCTGATTAAACTAAAAATGAACAATCCAATAAAGACCACTTTTTAAATGATATTAAAAAATGACTGAAATATACCTACCTACAGATTTGACTTAATAGGATAAACCTTTTGCTGGTATGTTTACAGTCATCTAATCTTATGGAAGGAAGCAAATTTTAATATCATGCAGCTACTAAGGACTACACAAAAAGTATAATATTTCAGACTTGCTTCAGACATTGCTTTATTTTGAACTTTAAAAATTCAGTTAAAAACCAATGTAATGTTTTATGAGCCTCCTCACTTCAAAAGGAAAAAAAAAAATCAGTGAAAATTTTAATTGAAGTTTTCATTTTTGAAATTGTAACAAAATATTATAGAAATAATCTTGAGTTCCATGTTTTTAGCAAGGATTCAATTCAGACTGCACAAACCCTCCCTCAAGTCCTCCATACCTAGCTAGCCAGGTGCAGTCACAACACAGTTTTGATTTTAGTTCAGAAGGATAAGGATAAGGAATTATCAACTCTTATTTTTTCTCTAAAATAAAACATATTCACATGGTTATCCTCCATCCCCTAAAAAGATTGTGGACTACCAGATTTCATTTACATTTTTTTTATTTTTATTTTTTCAGTACTGTGGATGGAACCTAAGGCCTCACACATGCTAAACATGTGCTACCACTGAACCATACCTTTCAACCCAATAGCTTTTAAATATAAGTAGCATTAGTAACCAAAAATTACAAACATAGCCGCATCAAATTATTTCTAGTTTGCATTTTTGGTTTTGGTAGAGATTAAATCTAAAATTGGGATAGAAGTAGTGGTAATATCAGATACTACTGAAAAACTGGCAGACTTTCATTTGTTAATAGAGCTGTTTAGATATGCCTTTCCCCTTCAAAAGATATTACTGACCCAAACATGAATATCATTTAATCTCTCACTTAGTTGTTTATGCACCACAATTGGAAAATGTGGAAGTAATCATGAGAGGGCAAGAGTGGTTTCCTAGTAATCCTTCCCTTCCCCTCCAGGCCCACTCCATTCAAGAGGAAAACTGCAGAGGCATGGGTTTCACTTCCAATAGGGAAAAATTCCAAAAGCTATAGTTATCACCCCTTTCTCCCTATTAAAGTGAGAGTGACCACGTTATAGACTTCAGAGCTATTTTCATAAACAAAGTTAATGTGGCCAAAATGAGAACTCTAGGCTCTGCCTTTTTTTTGAACCTGGACAATTGAGCAATTACACAACTACATTTTTTCCTTTTCTATTTATGAAATGCATCAACCTGTGCTATCTAGCATTTGGTCAAACACATCTCTCTTAAGTAGCAAATGCTGCTGTTTTATCATCACATTTATAATAGTTTCCTGAAAACCCAGGGTGGGAACATCCAATCCTAAAGGAATGATTAAAAAAAAAAAAAATTGAATTTCATTCACATGTACCATTTAAATGGTATTATTCAGTTGTTCTTTGGTTTTTAAAAGTGGTAAGCCAAGTATGGTGTATATTTACAATTCTGTTAACCAGAATATCCCAAATGGAGAAGAGAGCTGAGTTTGTGGGAACAAATCATTGTTGTAAGACAATGGAAACTCCTGGCACTCCACCAACTGATAGCAGCTGTGCTGCAAAGCCTTCATGGGACTGAGGTTTGGAAAAATGAGGTACCAGTGAGGTAGGAGAAGGATAAAATGAAAAAAGCCACTTCCATTATAAATTTATTATTATAAACCTGAAGCTTAGACTATCATGATGTAGTACTGATTTAAATGTTAGCCTTTCAAGATCTGGATTTATTGTATTAAGTACATTTTTTTATTTACTAGCATATTTCTAGAGCTATAAAACAAAATGCTTTGAGTAGGATGAAATTATGATATTCTTGAATCACCTGCTTTTTAAGCTAGTGAAATATTAAGTATCATTACTGACTATCATTTCAAAAGATAAAAACTTTTGAAGTTATCATTACACTGGGTTGGACATGCATGCTGCAAACCTCTAGACTATTTTATTTAATAAAACATCTTGGTAGTAAATGCTTTGCAAGGCCGTTCCTTTTTCATAGCTGTGCTTAAGCCTCCCAACTTAAGAGAATGTCACTTAATATTCAACATTGTGTGCTTTAGGAATAGAAATCTGCATTTTATAAATAGCAGTACAGACTCGAATAAATGGCTTGTACTAAGGAACCAGGCATGCCTCCCATCTAGATTTCTCATGTGATTCAATCTTAATTTGTCTTTAATGAAAGAAGCATTTATCTTGAACAATCTAGAGTATCTGAACTTTCTTTTCCAATCCAAACCTGAAGGACATATAATTTGAAAAAGAAATAATGATATTTTTTTTTTTTTTGGTCTCATTGAGTAAAACAAACTCTATGACTTGGCAAAAACCCCAATTTAAGAATATTAGCCAAAAAAGAATATTATCATTTTGTTCAAAGTTATTTCACATAGTCACAGAAACATCTCCCTGAATGAGAGAGAGTCTTTCCTATTTGGTACCCTTCATCAGAAGAAAAGTACCACAGAATGGGGAAGACAGAAGACTCACATGAGGAAAGATGTAAGACTTAGAAATGAGAAATGGGAAGCAGAACTGGACCGTTTCTCTTTCATTTCCTTTACAAACGAAAATTTTGGTTTCTAGTCAAAGAAGGGCTGTGAATATAAGTTTAAGATGACTTAACTCTACTTTTCAACTCTCAAATGGGCACTGATGCTATGTGACCTTAACTAGAGGTTCGGTGTAGAAATCTACTCTGAGAAATCAGTTAAAAGCTAACCTTGACATTGCTCGATGTAAACAGAGATTAAGATTCATTTTGCTAATCTGACTCTAAGAAAAAGCAAGTGTGATTGCAGAGCTGGTTGGTTCTTTCATATAAAAAAATAACTGAACTGTAAAATAAGTACTAAATAATGTGTCATGTATCCATAAAGAAATGACAGAAATTTGGGTAATTCTGAGTTGACTTACTATTTTATACTGATAATACTGTCAATTAAAGAACTCCAAAAAGTTCTGTATGAACTTAAAAAAGAAAATCCTTTGTCAAATATACCTCCAAATTCCAAGATCAGATACTTTGCTCATCAAAAAATTTGCCAGTTAGGTTAGGGTATAACCCAGGTCTACAAAGCATTTGAGTGTTTAATGATGTGTTTTTTTAAATATTTGATGAAAAGTAGTCTTTCCTTAGGTTGACTTTATCTTCTTTCAACAATACATAGAGAAGCAAACTGGAAAACCTTAATCCTAGAAAAATCAGATGCAGATGATGATTTAACCTGTGCATGATTCTCAAAATATGTATTTTAAAAATGCAACTGACAGAGGCTTGAACTCCACCTAAATAGTATCTTACAGGGTCCTTGTGTTCTAATGTCAGTGATGATCTAAACATTCTCTTCTCCAGCAACCTATCTGTAACCCTGAGGAGTTTCTTCCCACCCTGTGGGAACAGGAGTAGGTGAGTTAAGCAAAAACTACAAACAAGAATGACAAATGTGGTGACCTGAAAAATCACAAGATAAAGCAGAAGTTATCATCTGACTTACAGCAACTGCTTCCAGATGGAGCCCACTTCAGCACTGACCCAGGCAGCTCATCCAACAGACTAAAACAAACAGAGGAAGACACAGTGAATCTGCGTCCAATTCTGTGTTCACTGTTTTAATTAGAAAACAAAACTGTAATTCTATCTTGGTAGGTCACCAAAATTATGACTTTCATTGGTGTTTTTCACCCACCTGTAATAGATTGGAGGATACATAAAAGTGAGGGAGATCCCTTCACTTTCACTGCCCAATTTTATACAATCACCTAGAAACTAAACTATATAGAATTATAGTATGAATGATTTAATTAATTAAAGTATACACACACACACACACACACACATACACAGGCATACACATATATACCCACACGCATATACAAACATACATACATATACACACATACATATACATGCATATACATATACACATACATACATATACATATACATACATATATAAATTCAGAAGTAGGAGTATTATGATTTTTTTCTTAAAAACAAAGGAAAATCATATAAAAATACATCTGGATTTTGAGGACATTTTTTCCTCAGGTATTTACTATTGGAGAGGCATATATTACTTATTCATGTATATTGTTCTCCATTGGGCAGTATTTTATGCTATCCTAAGATTAAACTGGTTAACAAGAAATTCTTGAAAAAAACATTATAAGCACTTTCCCATGTTTTAGGCTAAATAAGCACAACTCTCTTAAGTTGTTTTTGGCACAAATATATAAATATTCAACTAAAATTACTGAAAATGAGTGAATAATTCACAAACTCAGGCAAAGGCAGAATAGCAGCAATAAATGCACCATTTTAATTTCATCCTATCTTGGGGGAAACAAAGGGGTTAAGAGAAGTATAATGTTATGGTTGAATATACAATCATGCCCTTATGAAGATATTCCATGCTATCCCTTCTTAATAAGTTTAATAAATAATGACTATGTATTACAAACCATAAGAAGTTTGAAATTGTTTAAAATGTTAAACACTAAAAAGTTAGAATTCAGTTTATCTGAGTTATAAACTTCACAATGTAAGTTTACTGGCCTACAGGTTTACATTATTAATCAAACCAAAATGAAAGTATATTAACATATAAGAGTTCCCCAAAATGTAAATGGAGGTTATGTTTGACTTATTAAAACCTTGAGTTTTATATGAAACCTTAATATTCTGAGTATACATGTGTAAATATATTCATTATGGATCCTACAATGAATGCATCTATATATACATATTGACACAAACTAAAACAAATCATTAGTAAGTCCTCCTAAAAGTAAAACATGCATATATTCATTCAAATTAAAATGCTAGCCTTTGAAATAAAGTACATTATTCAAATTAGGTAAACTGAGTTGGAAAATTGGATATAAAAATGCCCATGCATACCCATTATTGTTTTTTTTTTTTTTTTTGTACCAGGGATTGAACCCAGGGACGCTTAACCACTGAGCCACATCCCCAGCTCCTTATATATTTTATTTTGAAACTGGGTCTCACTAAGTTGTTAGGGCCCCACTGTTGTTGAGGCTGGCTTTGAACTCGTGATCCTCCTGCCTCAGCCTCCTCAGCCGCTGGGATTATAGGCATGTGCCACCATGCCTGGCTATTATTTTACTAATAGTAATAATAATAATATATTATTGTAATTGTTCTCTGACTTGACACATACATTGGAGACCATCAGTTATATGAGGATTAATACAGACACATCAATTACCACAGTATATAACTGATTAGATGGTTCTAATATTTACTTATATGAATGTGTCAATTTTGGGTAAGGCACTAGGATAATCGAGATTCCAAGTAAAAAAATATTTCACAATATGTCAGTATTTATAAATATCATCTGTATTATTGTGAATCTGCAGCATAGTCTTTCTTCCTTCAGAACTAATTCTACTCTGAATTTGAAGATTGATTTCTATGGATAAGCTACCCCTTTTAGTACACTTCTGTTGTGCCTTGGCCTATTTAAAACTTAGCTGCCTTTTCCAAATGTGATATTGTATCTACAGATAACTGCAGCATATCTTAGTATATAATGAAAGTCTGGGTACTCTGTGCCACATCCAATTGACTTTCGTGGGCCTGACCAGTAAGAGAATTGTAAAATAGTAACATACTCTAAGTTTGACCTAATTCTTTTGCTAACAGAATCAGGTAATAAAAATTGAATGTAGAATATTAAAAATGTTTGTGGCTACAAGATTATCTCATATAAATGGCTCATATAAAATTTTTGTTTCTTCCTTAGGCAACAGAACATCCTCTGGAACAGGAATAAGAGGTACATTGTTCTCACCTTAAAGATAAAAGCCCAAACTGTCCCATTTCACATTGTTGCTCTGCACAGTTAACATCAATCACACTGAGTTCAGACTACTTTTATACACTTGTACAATGCTAATTTGAAAATATTCTTCTTTGAAAACACCACCACCTACAATCTAAGCTCTGGAAAACACCCTGTAAAGGAATGGATATTTCACTTTATATTTTGCATTGCAATTGAAGTACATGTGACTTTATAGGTGTTATCTTAATGCATTTTATGTTTGTTTGTTGTTAAAAGTATTTTTCAATTAAAGAAATGTACTTGGTTGTCACAGTGGATGAATGGTAATCCTGAGATATTAGCTCCCTTTACTGTATCCCTTCAGACCTGTTGTAGTAAAGGATGGAATGCTTAAAAATTTGTACTTTGTTTTAGCAGTCTGGACAGCCACAGGGTCCTTCAGGTTCTGTTCCCAGGGAAGTTTCCCACATGACCACCGCAGCATGCAGTAGCCGAGGATTTCAACGTCACTTCTTCTGGACAGGGCTACAGGAGTAAACATTAAGAGGGGGGATAAGTAAGTCCTTGAGAAAAAGTGAAATCTTTGAGTGAACTACTATTGATGAAATATGGAAAAGCCAAAATAGGAGAAGTGTTTTGTTTGTTCAGCTGGAGCAAAACTTAAAACGCCCAGGCGTTTGGCCCCAGTCCACAGACAGGCAGTGACTTGTTGCTGCTGAAAGTCAGGGTCAGTTTCCTCACCTCCTCCAACTTCATCTTTCCTTAGTCTGGCCTGTCACATGAACTTGATCCCCATGGCCTCTGACATGATCCAGACAACCCATAACCCGGCACCAACACTTTCTCAAAGAGCCAAGCAGTAAAACAAAGAAATAAATGTCTGCAGCTAAATTGCTAACATATGTTCCAGGAAGTCCATGGGGTCTGCATTGGTCATGCAGAGACCCTTTGAGTGCAGACTAAACACTGATGGCCTTTCCTGTTTTACCCACACTGGTGGCAGCATTTGAAATTGGAAGAATATGACAAAACTGCCATCTAGTGTGCAGTCTTAAACAGGCTTGTCTGGGGATTTTTCAGTTACATGAAAGGATAATTAAAATAGGTCCACTGCTTTGGATGCACAATTCTACAATGTTACAGATATTGTCTTATAATTAAGCAGCTCTAAGCTAAAATTCTAACCCCAGATCCTGGAAAGAAATCTAAAGGTAAGACAATGGATGGGACCACAGGAGAGAGGTGGGAGTGAGTGTGAAGCCAAATAGAGGTTCCCCAAATTTAATACAAGATGGCTTTTCATTTAAAAAAAATACAAAGAACATTTTCATGGCCCTGTAAATATCATTTATATCAAATCATTAAATGCTATAAACTAATGTCATCATGATTTTATATACGTCTGTTAAAGTGCCTCTTATCAAAAGACGGACAATGAAACCTAAGAAATGTGTCAAACATAATTGATACTTGTTAACAAGTCACTGGAATAATGATTGCAACATCAGCAAATACCCATAAAATAAACTCATTTTTAACAACCATTTCAGACTGTTATAAAAACAATAGACTGGTATTTATATTTCTACCACTACTTGAATGTTCATCTGTGTAAGAATAATATAATCTCCCAAGACCAATATGTGACTGTTAAACCTGCTGTAAACAGGTATCCTGTTTTATTTTCTTTCATTAAATAAACTCTGAAAAGTCACTCAGTAAACTTAGTTTTTAATTTAAAAAGTCATCTACTAAGAACAATGATGCCATCATGTTGCAACTACTTTTGGTTACCATACATAAGTAGTTATAAAAGCAGAAGACAAGATCAGCTCTTACACGTACTCTATCTTAACTGCTATTAGAGTATTGGATTATTAAAGGCCCTTCAATCCAGAAGAATGTTACAGTCCCATGGGTGCCATTTACTTTCTGCACAAGCTTCAACAATGTCCTAATGCAAGACTTGGCTCTTGTATTAAAATAAAAACACAATCTCTACCATGCTGTTCTGCAGTGATTTCTTTAGTAATAAATCTCCCATTAATAATGGAATGGTTCCATTTGTACAGATGTGTTCACAAGTCTCTTTTCCATTATGGCAATTCCCGATTACCACCACTTAAAAAATGTTCACATCCTTTAATTTTCAAAAAATGATATTTTGGCACCTGTTTGGATGATACAGACTACAAGAGGCCCTTTGAGGAAAAACAATCAGAATTAAAATGGAATGAACCTTCCCAGCCACTTCCCCCCACCCCCCAACTGAGGGATTAATTGATATGAAGCTGTAAGTAATGACAAGTCATTTAGATTTCTGAAGTCAATCTTTCATAAACTGGTCTTCAATTAAAATAGCCCTTTGAGAGTTAACTTTACTTCACTATTATAGTTTTTGGTCTTACCTAATTAAAATACATTATCACATATTCCATTCTTTCACTTATTTTCTTTCACTGCACATACACATTAATAACAATGGCTAAGCATTCTACCACTGTTTCCACTAATTTCTATAAAAATACACATATTATTTAAAAGAACACCTAACGGTCACCCTTTTCTACTAGTAAAGATAAGAGCATGAAGTGTTTCTGAGTATCTCTCCCTTATATTCCCTCCCAGAAAAACAGACTAAACAACTTGATTTAGGAAGCTAATGTTTACTTTCCATCTACCATACAGTAATATCTGCTAAGTTAATTTTAAAATTCTAGAAGACAATATTAGAATCTGTGTGTACCCACTTACATGCAGAATTAGTCATCACTGAAAAAGACTATTGATATCTAACTATAAAAGGGTTTTGAGCATTGGAAGTACAGCTCAGTGGTAAGAGACTTATATAGAATGCACAAGACCCTGGGTTCAATCCCTAGCACTGGAAAAACTAAAAACCTTCTAACTTGAAAGTTGTTTCTTTTATTACAGAATTTAAAAATGCATTTAAAAACATGCTAAGTGAAGCAGTAAATGGAAGGAGCCCTAGACTAGGAATTCATAGAGAAGAGATCTACCTCCAGCCTCCACCATTATTACTATTTTAGTACTAAGATTCAATAATGCCAGATGATACATTTCTTTTAACATCTTTTCATTCACTCAGAAAATATATTATGAATTGTTTTCTGAGTCATAATTCTGCATAATTATAATACATAAAGTTCTTTGACTACACTTGATAATTAGCATAATTATTAATAGTAAGCTTTCATAGATTTCAAAAAAAATCAAGAATTTACTATTTTATGTAAATGTAATTTACTTATAGTGAGACTATTATTAATAAAAGATTTTTCCTCCAAACTTTCTCAATTTAGTTTCTAAATGTTATTTGGCATCTGATGTTTACTGAGCTTACTAATATGCAGCAAGGTAAATTAGTCTTTTCAGTCTAAGTCTGTGGTGCTCTCAAATGTTCAACATTTCAAAATGATAAAGCATTGCCAAGAGTAATAACCAAAAACTAACAAACAACAACAACAAAAAACCCACCACCACCAACAACAACAACGAAAAAACAGAATACTGGGGGTACAGCTCAGTGGTACAGCACTTGCCTAGCAGGTGCAAGGCCCTGGGTCTGATCTCCAGCAATGGAAAAAGAAAAAGAGAAAAAAGAAAAAAAAAGGCCTATATGAGAACTTAAATTTATTTCAATGAATTAGAATCTGACCTAACTTTCCTATGTACCTACATGAATACACCACAGTGAATCTCAACATCCTGCACATCCATAAGACTAGGATCCTAATTAGAATAAGATATACTCTATGTTTGTATAAATGTCAAAATAGACTCCATTGTCATGTATAACTAAAAGGAACAAACAAAACATATAAACCATATAGAATAAAACATGACATGCAGCAAGTTAAAAAAAAAAAGAATGCAGAACCAATAAAAACAATTGTTGTGATTTATAGAGAGCTGCTACTGTGCCAGGTACTCTACCTGTTTTTTTATTATTGCATTGAATCACTCGAACAGTGTAAAATATTATTAACCATACTGACAAAAAAAAAAAAAAAGAAGCTAAGAGAGGCTAAATAACTTGTTCAGTATCAAAGAGCAAAACTAGACGGAGCTCAACACTGAAGTTCAAGACTTTCAGAATCCAAAGTCCATGCTCAATCTAAGAATTCTTTGCCTCCAGAATTAATTTTAACATTATTCAAATAGCATTATTTACACTACTGAAACAGGCAATTTAACTTAAAGCACTGAAAGACATATTGACATAAAGAAACATGTTTTGGTCATAAACAAGCCAAGATCTAAGCTGCATCCCTAAGTTTTATAAAAGGATAGTTGAATGAAAAATTATTTCTTTCAAGCTACTTCACTCTCATAAAGAAGGATCTCTAAGTTAGAATATTTATTTATAAAGTGTTAAATGGTCCTTCCAATCAAACAACAGAGAGACCACTTTTGAGAACTGGTCCTCAAAAGACAAATTGGAGTAAAATTCACCAATAGGAATGAAAGAGAAAAAGCAAAGTTTAAGTGTTAACTGCCCTCCCCCAAAATGGATCTGATTATTTGCCTAAGGGACTTTCTGTTTAGTTTTATTTCTTAATATAGTAGCATCATGGAGTATGAAGAGAAACAGGGATTGGTAGAAAATAAAATGAACTTGAAAATGTCTGGGTTCAAATGCCCAAAATATGAATATATGTAACCAGGCATGACAATATGAAAGCAGAAAACTGCTGATAAGATGCTCCTTGACAAACTGAATAGTGATATATGAAGGACAAATTTAAAGTTTGTTCTTAGTTTTCTAACGGATAACTTATATAATTCAATATTTTGTCCATTAGAATGTACAAAGAGCTACAAAATATTATGGTAACCACATTTACTGTAGTTTCAAAAAGGATATTAGGAAAATAGAATATAATAAATAATATTTCAGATAAAATACTGAACCCAGGTCTCTATTTTTTCAGTACCTTTTAAATTACGTTTTAAATTACGTTTCCTCATGAAACCCTACTACGTGAAGATTAAGAAAAGCCATTCAACAGAGCAGAGATAGTTTACATTTGGCCATTGCATAGTTTTTAACAAAAGAGTTCAATTAAAAAGTCAAGATGTATGTTAAGACTTTAAAAGTCATGTGTGAATGTAAACCAATGGTTATATGCCACAGAGAAGCAATAATCTTCATTATTGTTTATACATTAGCCAGACTATTTAGAGCAGTCAAATTTACCTACACATTACCTACCTATATTTTTGTCAACTAATGAAATAAGGGAATACCAATATTTGATGGCTTACCTTTATACTTTATAATAGGAAAATGAGATTTCTTTTTTGAATTAGTATTTGGGAAGGTAAGTATTGTGCAAACCATGTCATTTTCCTAAGTTTGGTAACATGAAAATACATTCTCAGTTTATTTCACATGTATTTTGTAAGTTGGTGCAAAATGAAAGGAAACCAGGCAAGAAATAACACCAGACTTGGATTTCATATACTGTAGCAATTGGCAAAAAAAAAATTTTTTAAAAAGTTAATATATCTATCTGACACTGAATATATTACATAAACAAATGGACATTTAAAGTACAATTTAGATATCATATTTTATGGTCATCAATGATGTCGAATTAAAACAGGTATTATACACTCAATGCCTAGGTCTGAAGTATTTTAAAAAGCTCAATATGTTAAATGCAGTATATCTCTAGAGAAATTAGGTATTGACTGCATGCCTCAGTGAGTAGAAAAATCTACAGAAATCCATACCACACATTGATCCAAATATTGCTTTTTAACATTACTAAGAATGTAACAAATTTTAAAATAGTATATTTGACAAAGATATAATTCTCTTTAATTATCAGGCAATGAGAATAATATATGTCAAATTTATATGTGCTAGTTTCGATGAAGAGTAAAGAAATAATGGAAGAAATAAATACAACATATATTACTTTAATTTTATACTGAATAAAAGCAGTTCAACCACTTAGAAAATACATTTAGGATACATGAGAGAATTGAGTTTGGAAGAATAACTGAAATGTTTAAAAACATACAGATACAGAGATGTATGATAGTTCCAGGTATAGTTATCTGTCCATTCATCTCTATGCATAATTTTTAATCTATAATAATATGAGCTAATAGCTAAGATGGTTATTTCTTTCCCTCCCTTTATAGCTGAATGAGAAAACACTTAGGTGAAGAGGCTGAGATATTTTTTATACACATTCCTTCATTATAAAAACTTAATCCATACACACACAAAAATGAGCTTTCCCTTCAATTTCTGAATAACCATTAGAAAAAGTAGGAGCAACTAGATAGTCTGATCAGGTTAATAGTCTTTAATTGAGTGGCTAACTCCTAAGATAGTATTAAAATCTGAATATTCCCTTGGCCTGACCAAACCCAGATATACTGGACACATAGCAAATGTTTGGCAACCAGAAGCTCTACTTTGCAGTGATAACTTTTGTTCTCTGTGCTTTCTTTTGCATTATCTTTCCTCCATATCTATTTGACATCATAGCTGGACTGGTACAGAAGATTTTTTTCTGAGATTAAGCTACACAGTGGTTGTACTAAAAGTAAACACATGAATATTTATGAACTTGATCTTCTGCATTCACCTATAGGATTTATGGTCCTGTTTATTTTGGCTTCTAAATATGGTTAAATAATTATTACCTAATAATTATTTATACAATGCTGAACTGAAATGTTTTATTTTAGAATATTAAATACAATACCTTAAAAACACTGTTCAAACACTTGAGAATATCAAATTTTCCATTTTATATACCAGAGTAACTTCATATAAAAATTTCAGCAAATGTGTGTATACACATGTTCTCATAAACATGAATATATTTATATGTACAAGTAGATACAGATATGCCTAGAAGTTTAAAATATATCATATTTTAAATGCTTGAAGGTAATCTACTATTTAGGAACCTTGGAAAACCTATGATAAAAATGAATATTCCAGCATAAAACTTTCCAGCAAACACCAAAAATATTTAATGTAGGTTCTTCCCTGAATATTCCTTCCAGAGATATAATATCTTTTTGTGATCATTCTGAATTCAATTTTTCTCCCTCAAGACTGGGAATGGTTAAATCTACTCATCAACATGTATAAGATTTAAGGGAGAAAAAACTTTAAGTGGACTACTGAATAAAAAATTGTTCAAATATTTCATGAAGATAGAACAATGCAAACACAACATTCAACTATGGAATTAACTGAAGATGATGTTCAGAATTACTACTGTCAAACTTTGGTCAGACCAACAACTAATAACTCTCCTTCCCCTTGTATAAGTACAATAGTTTCTTAGCTATTTTCATACACAAAACCAGACTAATCAGTATCAGTGGCATCAATTCAAATAAGTGGCCTAACCATAAATCAGTATCATTGTTAACAAAACTGTACAAATAGGTAAGAATCTGTATGATGAATTTCCATGTGTACCACTATGTAAAAAGTAATTGCATGTTTCTGAAAACTATTAGGTATTGTAAAATAATTCTGGCAAAAGTGAAGAATAAAACTCATCAGAAGTGAAAGAACTTTAAGCTAAAAAAAACCCCCACAATATTCTTGATGTTTATGCTTTTTAATTTAATCAAAGTTATGTCCCATTGTCTTTAAGTGCTCACTGATTTATTAGCAATGTAAATGGTGAAAAATTATGCAACTCTACTAAATTTCTGAGTGATCATTACTTTTTTAAGAAAATCATACTTGAAAAAAGGTAGTGATTTCTTTTACTTTCTGCTGGGAGTATAAAGGCTAAATTCTGTTTCAGAAATATAGTCTAAGTTTCTTAGGTATACAACCAACACACTTGTTTTACTTTTTCATCAGCTTACCTTAAACTAATGTGGGTTTTTAATTGCTCTGGAAAATGATCAAGACCCTCTACATTACATGGTCAATGGTCCTTTTAATAGAAAAGGCAATAATATACAGTTGTTTGCGCCAACTAAAACTCGTTAGAAAGTCTCAGTTTAGGGTAACAGTTCAACAAACCATTAAGAAGTGCAAATGTCTTGCTGCCTTTTAGTGAAAATGTGTTCATCTCAATGCTATTTAAAAATTGTTTATTTAATTTAGCATATTTGAAAATACCTTTATAAACAAAGTTTACAAAGAATATAATTTTGAAAGCCAAAGTTTTTCAATAATCACAATTTTTTCACTAGCATAACATTAGAATTGACTTTTTGTCTTGCTGACAGAGCAACTAAGAAAGTACAGTTGCATTGACCATATTGATTGTGAACAAAGCAACCATCAGTGGGACTCAGCACCATATATTTTCAATATTGACCTCCTACTTCCTTTTCCATGGCTTTCTGGGTCGGCTATTGGATTTGGACTGCAGAGTAATAAACAGCTAAGGTTTAATTAATGGTAAATGAATACAAGACATAGGTTATGACTTTAACTAATTAGGGAATTGTTGAATTAAGTCTGCCTTGGAATGCAAGGCAGTCCAATCAATATCCAATAAAAGGACTATGTATGTAATTTACCTGCAAATGTGTTTCCAATACCATCAAAGTGAGTTTAAATAAGTAAGATATATGAAAGGCGACTAGGAGAGATTTCCACAAGTTAACACTTTATAGTTTCAAGAAAGATATCCTTATTATGGAGAGATGTTATCTTCTAGATTTCTGATAAGGGCACAAGGAAAAACAAATAACCATTCACATGTGCAACTTTATCAAGTCTGATAGTCACCTACAGCATAAAAAATTCTTCACTAACCTCTAGGGTTAACAAAAACAAGCTAGTGACTTTCTGGGCAAGAGAACATCAAACTTTGTTTACTTGCTACTCTTTGGCTCCTTCTTCTGTTGTTACAGTCTATATCCCCATGCACTATCAGAAGAAATATTCATTGGTATAATAGGAACTCACTAATGCACATAAAAACCTCAGCAGTGCTCTCACTCTTCAAACCGACTCTGCCAAGGTCATCTCATGCAGTTTTATTACTCTTGACTCTAATCATTCTTCTGAAATAAAAGTAAGAAAAAGAAAAGAGAAACCCACCTACTCCCTTGTGGGCATCCAAGCTGGTAAACTCTATCGTCCCATTATGGCCTTTTCTAGGATTTTCCTGATACTGTTTGTGGTTCCCATTGGGACAATATCTGTAGGAAAGTCCATAATCTGCAAGATAAACCTGGAAGACATGAACAGACAAATGAATAATGCTTTTGTCCTCTGAAAATATGGTCTTTATAATTAAGTCTTTAGAAGCTGATAACTTAGGAACAGTCTCGGATCTATATTTTATTAAACCAAGTGGTGCCTCAGGATAACATATATACAACTAGGGGGCTATAACAACTAACTTTCCAACTTAAATCCTTATTACATCATGGGCATATCTGATTTCTGGGCTAACTTGGATTTAATTTTTCTTATTTTGGTGCTGAATTCCCTTTTCTCCAGGTGGGCATCCAGACGTCATAAACCACAATATGTCTTTTTTACCTGTATTCATAAAGGCTTACGAGGCTCGGCCTTCCTTTGTAACCCCTCCCAGAAACAAAACAGTTTTAAGCACGGAAGAGACATAAAAGCAAACATTCTAAAAATATAAATCTAATTTTATAAGTCTCCTCTAATAGGAAGTATAAAAATAGGGAATAGACTATAGAGCTGATGTCTCAAAATAAACCAAAAAATCACCCTCATGTTGTCTGTATTTAAGAATGGAACATCAATGCAGGACTTCTGGTCTTTTAGACTGATCCATATCACTACTGTTATCTTTGTAAGTCAATCAGAATTGCAAGCAGGGTCTCCAAACAGAAACATAGACTGTTCAAAGTCAGACAATTCAAATGAATTTTTCTCATATTACTTTTGGAGAGAAGTGGGAAGGAGTAGTTTTACGGATATGTCATATGTAGAATGGAGAATTGCTGGACATTTTTTGCAACACAGATTCAGAAAATGTAGTTCCCACCCATCTGCTACCATTCCATTCCCCTGCTCCAAAACAAAGCAGTTTCAACTTTTAACACATGTAGTTTCATATATATATTTCTTTACAAAGTAGGAAATATTTCCAGAAGTGGCTTCAAGATAATAGATAATTATAACCTGCATTTTAAAAGAAAATTCAGTATTTGGATATTAGTTTAAACTTTTGGTTTTAGGATAGCTTAAGTAGAGGATATTTTGAACTTCAAAATATAAAAGCACAAATTTTATTTGTTGGAGAATATCACTTGCTAGACTGAAAACACATATTTTCATTTGTCTCCCTCTCCCACATGTGCTGCTTCTCAGTATATCCTTAAAAGTAACAAATTTCTCCACCTTAAATAACCACACACTTCAGGAACAGTTGCTTCCCTTCACTATTTCTGATGCATTTATTTATCTCTTTATTTCAAGAACTAAATAGACTTCACCTGGAAGGGTATATATGATAATTCAGCAAACAGAATTATGTTTTAGTACATAAGAGCAGTTTACTATTTTTTAGAAAGTGCTATCAAAAAGCTTTTCATGTTGTCATAAGACCAAAATTTTAAGAAAGAATACTAGGCACCAGGGGTGTTCAGTACTTTCATTGACCCCAACCATCCTTCTGAATTCCTACAGGTAGGTAACATTATCACCATTTTGTTCCTGTGGAAATGGAGGCTTAATGTATCTGTATGAGTTGTGTAAGAAAAGGCAGCCAGGATTCTATAGCAGTTCTGACTTTAGAGTCTTCACTCTCAGTCACTGTCAAAAAAAAAAAAAAAAAAATGCAGCAGGCAATTGAGTTAAACTCACAAGGGAAACTTTCTTCTCCAATGAAACAAAAGGCAGGAAAGTTTATAAGTGCTAGTGAGCCAGTGGGAGAGTACTAGAGAATGTTAGGGGGACATTGGTCAATGTGAATATGCCACCTATGTTTGCTAACTGGCACTGGGTTACTGTATCCCACAGAGACTACCATCCTGCATAGGGACAACTCCCAGTTCCTTAACAAAAACATGCCTATGTTCTAAAATTTGTAAGACTGGGAGAAAATCTGTCTCAAAGGGACAGGAAAGGATTTACAATTTTGAGTTTTCTTAAGTGAATACTCTAAGAAAAGGGAAGTCAAGACTATGGTCGGGAAGAAACCTGTCAAAAGTTTAGTTAGGTTGATGGGCTCCTTATAACCATCTTGGTCTTTGCTTAGCCATAGGTCTTAGAGTTGTGCTAGGATGCTCAAAATTTGGCAGAGCAAGGTTTAAAGACAAGAAGCTAATAATATAGAAAGAAGGCATATATTAACTATATTTTAGTCAATGAATATTTCAGATGTAAAAGTGATTTAAAGCATGCACAGTCACAGCTTCAAGGAGCATGCATATACTCTAAGAAAGTGATCTTTAAAGCACGCTAGGTATTATCCAGCCAACCAGAAATGCTCTTGTTAGTCTTAATAAGAGTTATAGGTAGAACTCAAAGGATCATGAATGATCAAAATATAAAATTAAGATTTCTTAGCAAAAAGAACAAGTCTCCACTCCCTTCCCAACTCTCATACATCTTTTTTTTACAATCTACTAATTCAGATTTTTGTCTCCTAATTTAGCATATAGTTCAAAATATTTATATTCATATAGCTTTACAAGAATTGACCTGGAAAATTCTAAAATTTTTAATGAAAAGTTTGCATATCACTAGCATACATCATCAACACTATTAGAAATATAGTCAGGGCTCTATTGAAGATATCTAGGGGTGAATGGAGACTTTATGTAATAGAAAGCAAAGTCAATAATCTGTCTCAAATAACCAAAATGTCAACAAATTAATTTGACTCAATTATGTCAAACTCAAAGTTTTACAGACAGTCTAGAATTTTGCCAGAACAATTCAAAGACAGGGAATAAGGGCTTGGAAAAATCGTCAAACAAGAAAAAGGAGGGAATAAAGGAGCTAACATTTATGAGATTCTATTATGTGACAATTACTGGGCAAAGTACTTTTCACAAATTAGTTCATTAAATCTACACAACTATTCTCAAACCAGGTAGCACTGGTTTGATTCTATGAGGAAGCTGACCATTCACTACTTAAATAACTTGCTCATGAAACGAAGATGGAAGCAGTACTCAAATCCAGATCAGTATGACTTCCAAAATCATCCTCTCTTCCCCTCTTAAAAAAATATAGAAGTGTCTCTGTCAATTTCTGAAGTCATATCAACATCAAAAATAAGTTGAAGCAGAACCCAATCTACAGTAGGGGTCACAGGCTAGGACTTATTTTTGTACCCTTTAAAACTAAGAAAATGTACATTTTTATGTGAAAGCTGAGAGAGGAAAAATACATGACTGTAAAAGGAAGGAAGAAAGGAAGGCAGGAGAGAAAAGAGAAGCAGGGAAGGGAAGGAGGAAGGAACTAATAGAGAACCACATGCGGCCCAAGGAGCTCAAAGCCTAAAATATTTACTATCTGGCTCTTCACAGAAGAGGTATGTCAACCTCTAGGGTGAAATTTGGTTTAGTTATTTTTTATACTATCCTTTTTTCTCTCTGTGTAAAATAAAAAACAGATAGCTTATACTTTTTCACTTTACATATAAATATGTATAATATTCCTAGTTTTAGGCAGGCCTGCCTTAGGAAACCCAAAGATTTACACCAGAATTGAGTATGGGGTGATTATTTGCATTGTAATAAGACTAGCCATAGGAATATTTAAATAGCTATCTCTCTAATGCATTTTAAGTGAGTTTCTTTTTATGCCCTTTTTCTGAATACAGTAACCCCTTCCTTCCTCCATAAGTACAAAGGACAGCCCTGCTTCAGAGTACTTTCTATTGTACTTTGCTGCCTCTCACATTTCCATATGACACTCCATATCAATTATGTCCCTTTCCAACTTCTTGAGGGGAGATGCACCATGTCAGTATCCACATTTACTAAGTGCAAGTTACCAGTGCTCACTGAAACCATTCCCTTGGAGGGTCTCATTGTTTTAGTGTACTTCTTATATCGTTCCCCTGAAAAACACCCAAATGGAACTAATGCTTCCATGGACTCTCAATTTTAATATCTTATAACTTAACAGATAGTGTGGCACCCATCAAGGTACACTCCCATTAAAAAAGGATTGGCCTTTCACCTATAAGGAATACAATAGGCCCACAGCCTCCAGCAGCAGGGCCACTGGATCTGCTGCACAGCCTGAGAACAAAAGCCATACTATTCTTAGGCAGCCTCACAGATGACTAGTCATGGGGAGGAAAGGGAACCCTCTTCTACTCAGTTGGTATCTCCAATCATCATCATCATCATCATGTAAAAATCTTTTTATTTATGTTTATTATCATTACTTTATAATAAATTATAATGATAAATATTATTAGAAATAGTTATTTGTTGGCATTATTTTTTAAAAAAATTATTATTTAAAAAAATAATAATCTTTGCTATGGAGCCCAGAGATGGGTAGGCCGAGAATGTCAAATGTGCATTGCAGTCCAATGTTCTCCCTTTCACAAGGGTCAGATCCACAGCCTACCCTGAGAGCTTCCCTATCCAATTGTGTTTACTCTTTTTATCTTGCACAGGTATCATATTCCCTTCTCCCAACGAAGTCCTTGTATCCTAATTGTCTCAGCATCTGTCTCCCTGAGAACCTCATTTGACACAGCTCGTCAGTAAATAATATCCTTGATTAATAAATGAAATGAAGATGAAAAACACATAATCCTTCAAGTACTACCAATGAGAACACAATTTGCCATAAGCCAGGATGTACCCATATACACCTTATTCTCAAGTTTTGCACTTGGTTAAGCTTTTATTTCCAGTTGCCTTTGCTGCCTGATGCTTGCATGGACAATAAAGGCTTTATTTTTCCAGAAGAATGGGTGAACTAAGGATTAAAAAGCATCCTGTGACAATTCTCCTTGACATAATTTGTATCAGAAGGGCCTTTATCCTCAACTGGGCACTTCTCCTGCGCCACCCCAAGTACACTCTTACCTTCTACCACACTTTCAGAATTCACACTTCTACTTCCTGGACTCACCTGAAACCTATCCTGGCACTGAGATACTTTCAATCATGAGCAATGTCTTGGTTTTCACTTGTATCCCTGTGGTTTACTATTATAATAATGTAAAAAAGTATTTAGCTTTTATTTATGTCTCAGTTCCATATCTGGAAGCTGTAA